TGCCAACTAGCCCCCTTGGTGGGCAGCTGTCCCCTTGATCCCAGTCAGTCTGGCTGTACCTCCACTATGCTCATTGCTGCCTGGGGCCCTGGACCTTCCCCACCTGTGTCCTTGGGTAAGCTGTAGAGCTAATGGTGGCCTCAGGGTATCTGGGGACGCTCCTGGTATCTCCCAGGGCAGGCTTCGTCTCCACAGCGAGCAGAGCCAAGCCATGAGGGGCCTCAGGGTGGGCAAGTGCAACCTCGGATCCTGCCACACACGGGCTCTGGGCTTGTGGGCACACGTGCACACACACAGCCCAGCTGTGTTTGGCCTCAGCAGCACTGTCCCAGTGAGTCTGCGTGTCCATCCCAGGTGAGCCACCAGCTGGGCAGCCTGATGGACCTGTTTACCACCAGCCTGGCTCTCGCGGGCATAAAGCCACCCAGCGACAGGGTAATTGATGGCCTGGACCTGCTCCCTGCTGCCCTGCATGGCCAGCTGACACACAGGTTGGTGGTGGACACATGGCATCAGCTGCCGTGGTGGGAGGAAATGGGATGGGCACTTTTGTTTCTTTCAAAATTCCTCACTTTTCTCTTGGGAAACTTGGCCCAGAGAATTGTTAGCAACTGGCAGGGAAGCTGCTGGCACCCACCTTTCCCGGAGGGACCCCCACTGCTGTCTCTGAGCTACACAACCCAGGGTGAAGGCCTTCTGGAGGGAGCCTGCGGCTCAGCCAGCTGTGTCCTGTGCCTCCTTGCCCCCCCAGGCCGATATTCCATTACCGTGGCAACACCCTGATGGCGGTCACTCTTGGCCAGTACAAGGCCCACCTGTGGACATGGACCAACTCCTGGGAGGAGTTCAGACAGGTACAGGGCTCACGTGTGGGTACCAGGGGCAGGTCTGGGCACCAGCTTGACCACTGGTCCTGGGCCTCTGAGCAGCCACACTGCCTCCACTGGTGTGTCCCCTCCATGCTCCCCACTGCCCTCACCTCACATGGAGTCCCGGCCTTGGCGGGGGCAAGCATGAAGGCTGGGCCTGCTGTGGGGCACTGGAGCCACTCTGCCTGGGTGACAGCAGAGTTTTGTGACACAGCCTTCCTGTGCTACCTCAACACACGGAGCCCCGCTTCACACCACCTCCCTGCCAGTGAGGGCTGTGCGACATCTGCATGTGTGTGCACACAGCCCACCCACTTGAGGGTGCGAGGCCTTCAGCCCTGGGCCTGGGGTATTCCAGCTGGCATAGCTCACTGTGTTCCTCACTGCCGCTCAGGCCCTCGTGCCCAGTATCAAGGTCTGCAGGTCAGGACAAACCCAGAAATTTGCCCATGAAGCTGACCTTGTCTCAGGGCGCTCAGTGCAGAGGCCAGGCTAGGTCAGCTGGGTGGAAGCTTCACCCGGACTGGAGCTCCCGGCTGGGCTGAACGAGCAGGGCACACCTTAGGTCTTGTTCTGCACCGTCTCCTGGGACCGTCCTCAGCCTGCCTGACTGGGCCTCCCAGGGTCATATTCAGCTTGCCTTTCCCCATGGGGCGTCAGAACAGCTGGCTTGTGCTCTTGCTTGCCCTGGGTTCCTCCAGGGCTGAGAGGGGTAACTGGATCCTATGGGGGGCCTGGATGGCAGTGTGGGGTCCTTGCGCCCTCCTGGGGCAGTGGCTGGCGAGACCCAGTCCAGCCTGCCAGGCTGCAGCCCAGAGTTCCCAGGGGCTCCTGCCTGAGCCCAGAAGGTTCTGCAGGCACAGCAGGGCATGGGCCAGCTGGTGTTGACCCTAATGTTTGTACTGGGCTGGCAGGTGTTGGGAGACTGTGCAGACCTCTGCATGGGGTCCCCCGCTCTCCCTACCCCTTCAAGAGATACCCCAAACTCCTGTGCCTCTGTGAGGAATATGGGGTGTGGCCCTGCTGCCTGCTGAAGCTAAGAGGGACCCTGGGCCTGCTCTCCTGGCTGCATCACCCCGGTGTCTCAGGGCCAGGCTCACTGCGGGAGAAGCCTGTGCTCATGGGCAGGCTCTTACCCGGCCCAGCTGAATGGCATCCAGGTGGAGAAGTGTGGGCTCAGTGCAGGGTGTCCCCCAGGCTGCAGTTCGTGTCAGTTGGGGCGCAGCCCCAGCAAGCAGCTTCTGCTTTGCAGGCATGATCTGCTCCATAGGAAATGGTCCGGCCAGCTGACACTACGGACTGGCAGCTGTGGTCCCCAGCACAGGCTCACTTGCTAGTCTGCCCGTGGCACACCTTGGGGCAAGCCCTCGGGCACCTGAGGGTGTTGGAGGATTGGTCCTCAGATCCCTCGGGGAACCACAGATGCCCACAGGGCCTCAGAATTGCACTGGGGCCTGGACATGATGAGGCTGCCTGGATGGGGCACTGAGCAGGGTAGCACTCGGCTGCCTGGATTTTGTTTGAAAGAAGGAGAGACAGAGACCCTGACACTCCTCAGATGGCTGCAGCAGCCTGAGCTGTGCCGATCCGAAGCCTGCACGCACATGAGAGCTTCTCCCATGTGAGTGTAGAGTCCCAAGACATTTGGCCATCCTCCACTACTTTTCCAGGCCACAGGCAGGGAGCTGGATGGGAAGTGGAGCAACTGGGACATGAACTGGTACCCAGATGAGATTCTGTTACTTGCAAGGGAAGAATTAACCAATTGAGCAAATCACGCTGGGCCCTCTGGATCCTTAAGGAACTCAGCTGGTGACCCCTCCTTCCTGAGGTGTCAGTGATAGCTCCTCAGCCCCCCCCCACAGGGCCTGCAGCAGACATGACTCCCCCTCGACCCCATGCAGGGACTCTATGTCAGGGGGTCGTGCTCACTGCCTTCACTGACTCCCCACAGGGCATTGACTTCTGCCCTGGGCAGGACATTCCAGGGGTCACGACCCACACCCAGGAGGAGCACACAAAGCTGCCCCTGATCTTCCACCTGGGCCGAGACCCTGGGGAGAGGTACCCGCTCAGGTGAGCTGAGGAATGGGGGAGAGGTGCCCGCTCACTGAGCCGAGGGATGGGGGAGGTGCCCGCTCACTGAGCGATGGGGGAGAGGGCCCTCGTAGCCACACTGAGCACATTTGCTAGGCTCAAGCACCCTGTAACTGGCTTCATCAAGGACGATCCTGTTCTGGCACTTTGTGGGCCTCTGAGCACCTGCCCCTGGCTGCCCCTGCCATGTCACAGGGTTCCCTCAGCAGAGGTACAAGTGTCAGGTGTCTTCTCGCCCAGACGGGGCAGGCAGAGTCCATGGCTACCCTTCTTGTGCTCACATGTCCATTCCTGCCTCGGGGGAGGGGAGAGTCAGGGGCAGGATTGCCCTGGGAGGCCACGACCTGTCAGAAGTGGCCAAGTGGAGGTCAGGTCAGGCTGTCTGCACCCCTACTGGGCTGTGGTGCCAGTGCTGGGGGGCTCTGGTGTGTAGGTCCCCTTGCATGCCCCATCTGTACCCTCTGTTCTTGAGATACAGTGACAATGCAAGAGAGAAGGGGGTGGATACACGGGTCAGCACGTGAGGGGCAGCTCTCCCGGAGCCAGGGGAGCCAGAGGCAGGAGGGGCTGCCCGCCCATCCCTGTCATTGGGGCCAGATGTCCCTGAAGTGGCCTTTCTGGACAAGTCAGAAGTGCAGAGCCGGCCATAACCATGAGCACATCCACTCCATGGGACGGGGCAGGATGAATGGGCTCTCGGGATGTGCTAGCCACGGAGCCCTGCCTGGACATGGATTCCTGAGGCCCTGCTTTGGAGTGAGTGGGCGCAGGGCCCAGGCCCACTTGGAACCCACCAGTGGCCCCAGAGAGTGCCCAGGAAGTCGGGGCAGCCCCATATCTGGCCATGGCCTGGGACTCTGGGAAGCTCATAGAGCATGTGGAGCCTGAACAGGACCCTGGGCCCATGTGGGCCAGGCTGCTTCCCAGGAGAAGGGGGTCCCTGTGCAGGGGACAGCACAGCCATACCCACAGCCCCTTTCTGGTTGCTGGGTCGCCGGGTGCTCCCTTGCCCACAGCTTGGTAGTTGGGCCTCAGGTTCCTCTCTGCCTACGGGAACTAGAGAAGCTACGGGGCGCCTAATGACGTGGCTAGCAGGTCTGGATTGAGGATGTAGCCATGGTTGGTCTGGATCTGTGTGCTCACTGGCAGCTCTGGAAAGGGTTGGTGCCTGTGGCAGCCTTGTGGCCCACCATGGTGCAACAGGACAGGAAGTGCCAGGCAGAGCCAAGGACAAGCTGCACACGTGTCAGTGCTATCTTGCTGAGGACCGAGCAGGGGACACTGCTCACGCGGCCCACGCCGGGCGCTGTGTCCTAGGCTGGGCCGGGCTCACACTGCTCTCGCCTTCTCAGCTTCACCAGCAGTGAGTACCGGGAGGCCCTGCGCAAGGTGGGCCCAGTGGTGCAGCAGCACCAGGAGACCTTGGTCCCTGGGCAGCCCCAACTCAACGTGTGCAACCGCGCAGTCATGGTGAGTGGGCCAGGTGCGTCCCGAGCACCAGGCCGAGGGGCGGACGGAGAGAGGAGCGTTCTCTGAGGTGGACTCCGGGGCCCAGGCCCTCCCACCACGACCGGGAAGAGCTGGGCCGAGGAACCTTGGGGTGTGTGGAGGGTGGGGGCGGCGGTGGGGCTGCTTCCGGTGGTGTAGAGTCCCTGGCGCCTGCTGACTGCTCTTCGGCCTTCTCCTTCCCAGAACTGGGCGCCCCCCGGCTGTGAGAAGTTAGGCAAGTGCCTGCCGCCGCCCTCATCGGCCCCGGAGAAGTGCCCCTGGCCGCACTAGCACCGCAGAGCCCGGCCCAGGCGTCGCGGGGCGCTGGGCTCCCGCCGGCCCGACCCCCAGCGGGATCCCGAGCTCCGGCCTGGGCGCACGCGCTGCGGCGGGTGATGACCTTAGCCTGCCTCGCCCTCCCCAGGGCGCTGCCGCCCCCCGCCCCGCCCGCGCTGCGCTCGGCGGGCGATCCAATAAAAGTGGCGTTGGAGCTGGCTCCGCCTTGGGGTGTGTGTTTCGGAAGGGGCGGGACGGAGCGGTGCGAACGGAGCCGGGCTTCCCTGCGCACTCGCTGGCGCGCACGCAGCCATGGCGGACCCCGAGCTGGAGCTGGTGGCGCGGCGGGTCCGCGCCTTCCCCGACTTCCCGGTGCCGGGCGTGCTGTTCAGGTGCGGGCTGCGGGGGTCGCGGGACTGTGGGGCGGCGGGACTGTGGGGCTGCGGGGGCCGCGGGGTTACCGGCCTGTCTTCCCCTGGCGCAGGGACATCTCGCCGCTCCTAAAGGACCCCGACTCCTTCCGCGCCTCCATCCGCCTCCTGGCTCGGCATCTGAAGGAGACGCACGGCGGTGGCATCGACTACATCGCAGGCGAGTGTGGGGCCGCGCACTGCGTCGCGTCCCGCCCTGGCGAGCTCGTGCTGAGCGCTTGCTCTGCGTCCGCGGGGCCATCCTGAGCCAAGGGCCCCGCAGTGGGACCTCCCGTGCTTACCGACACCCCCTTCACCCCGACAGGCCTGGACTCGCGGGGCTTCCTGTTCGGCCCTTCCCTGGCGCAGGAGCTGGGCCTGGGCTTCGTGCTCATCCGCAAGCGTGGGAAGCTGCCGGGCCCTACCTTGTCAGCCTCGTACGCGCTGGAGTATGGGGAGGTGAGCGTGGGGAAGGCTGGAGTGTGGGGATACGGGGTGGGGAATGCTGGAGTGTGGGGAGGCGAGCATGGGGTAGTGAGGAGGTGAGCCAGGGGTACGGGGAGGGGAACGCTGGAGTACAGGGAGGGGAGCAGGGAAGTGGACGCGGGTTACTGTTGGGACTGGCCTGGGAGACTCCAGATGGAGCTACTCTGAGTACAGCAGTGGGCACCTGCGTGGGCAAAGATGCAGCCATGTCCACTTCTGGCCCACAGGCTGAGCTGGAGATCCAGAAGGACGCCCTTGAGCCTGGACAGAAGGTGGTCATTGTGGATGACCTGTTGGCTACTGGAGGTGAGGGGCCTCCCCGGGGAGACGGGTGTGGGTGCCTCTGGGGGCCCTTGCTGCACTCCGTTCCCTCCCCCACAGGGACCATGCGGGCAGCCTGTGAGCTGCTGGGCCAGCTGCAGGCCGAGGTGCTGGAGTGCGTGAGCCTAGTGGAGCTGACCACGCTGCGGGGCCGCGACAAGCTGCAGCCAGTGCGGGTCTTCTCCCTGCTGCAGTATGACTGAGGGCAGCCAGAGCCTGTCACAGACCAGGATCCCCAGAAGGGGAGCCTGCAGCACAGCCTCTGCAAGTTGGGGAACAAAGCCCAGTGGCCCTGCCTTTCTCCCAGCCCCCTGGGCAGGTTCTGATCTTGCTCCGGGCTCAGGCCCCATGCAGTAGCAGCCCTGTGTGCCGGTTCACGTCCCAGCCTCTGGTCTGGGAAAGCAGAGGACGCCGCCTCAAGGCCTCAGAGATGCCCAGCTTGGGGAAAGAAGTCCGCACAGGGTGCTTGCCTTGTGTGTAGTTGCCTTTCCAATAAAAGTAAAATTTTAAGAAAGCTGCTGTCATCAACCTTTATTAACCCTCACATAAGGAGCCTTGCAAACAAGCAACCTCACTGAAGGTTGGGTCTCCGGAGGCAGGAATGATTAAAAACACAAGCAGTGGGGGGCCTGCTTGTTAGTGTTTCAGCCCGAGCACCTATGATCCTCGCTCACACTTGGTCCTGTCCATCAAATCCAGCCATCAGGTGCGTGTGCACTAGCTTCCAGAAGGTTCCTGCCAGCAGGGAGGAGCAGCACTGGTGGAGTTGGCCCGGACCCAGACTCGGAAGTAGCTCTGTAATGACGCGCAGCAGTCCCTGCCAGCACAGCTGCCACCGCCTCCAACCTGTGCAGGGTCCCATGGCGAGGCAGTCCACAGCCCTGGTCCAGACACGGGTGGGAGCAAAGCGCCCAACACAGGGAGGCCTGGGGCTGCAGCTCACAGCCCCTCCTCCACACGGGCCTGGTGGGCCAGCCGGGCAGACACGCCGGCCAGGTCAGCAGCCTTGTCCAGCTTGATGTAGGTGTCCGCGCGGACGCGGTGCAGACTCAGCCAGTCGGGCAGCAGCTCGGACAGCAGCAGCACGCACTGCTCCATCTCCCCTGCGGAGGGCACCTGTGAGTGGGCAGCTCAGGCCTGAGGCACCCCGGCCCAGGACACCCTCCTGCCCCACCGCCTACCGGGACTGGTGCTGCCACAGCTGTCCTGTAGCCGATCACAGGCCACCTGCATGGAGAGCGCCGGCTTGCGCTCGGCCACGAACACGGCGCGCAGCACACGGGCCAGCTCAGGGAGCCGCTCCAGCCGCCGCAGCCGCTGCTCCTGCTCTGGGCACCGCGTCATCTGTGCCAGGCGCTTCTGCAGCTCCTTGGCACGCACCTGCAGCAGGTACCAACAGGGCAGGTCAGCACAGAGGTTCAGCTCTCGGGGGCCCGCATCTCCCTGGCGGTGGACTTGAGACCCACCCGCTCCAGCAGTGACTGGGACACCCCTTTCAGGGCACTGGGAGAGACTGGAGGCGGCGTGGCTGGTGGGGTGGCGGGCAGGGCCAAGATGGCAGGCTCGGGGCTGCTGGGTTCAGCTGAGCGCAGAGCAAGGTCACGCAGGGCCTTGTCCATCTGCAGGATGGGTAGGTGAGAGGTCAGGGAAGGCCAGCCAAGGGACCCGGTGTGCCCAGTACAGCCACTCTGCGCCTTACCCTGGGTGACATGAAGCTGCGGGCACGAGCCAGCACCTCCTGGGCAGTGCTGGGCCTCTGGGCAGCAGGTGGCTGGGGCAGCTCGGCTGGCTCGATGTCGGGCACCTCATCCACATTGAAGTGTGGGTGCCAGCGTCTCAGCATCTCCTCGGGCACTGCCATCGGGGGGTTCAGGTTGGCCAGGAAGGCCTGCAGGACAAGGGCAGCCATGGGGCGGGGCGCTGGCCGCGGCTCACAGCACCACGCCCCAGCCCTCACCTGCCCAGGAGGCACCAGGAGGCTGCTGCACAGCCATGCGGGTGTTCACCTTGTGGTGCTCCTGGACGCGCCGCAGCAGGTTCTGGCCGAAGATCTGTCGCCGCTGCAGCAGGCAGGTGGCCGTGAACGGGGGTGCTGTGCTGTTGGCTCCTGCAAAGACAGCACGGCCTGAGCCCCCGTCTGCCCCGGCCCCCGGCCCACGACCCCCCTGCCAGTGGTAGGAGGCTCACCCTGGCCGAGCAGCGGCTCCACAGTGAGCTGGTATTGCGACCTGCTGACCCCGTCCCTGAAGGTGGGCACGTTCTGCTCCTGGCGGAAGCGGTAGCCCTCGGGATACACGGTCCGGATCTGGCCCACGTTGCGCTCCTCGAAGCGCCTGTGGGAAAGGCCCGGGTCAGGATGAGGGTCGTGGCCACCGCTTGCGAGGGCAGGGCGGTCCAGCCCTGGGACCCACTCACTTGTGCATCATGTCCTGGACGCCCCGCTGGACCTTGGCGAAGGTGGCGGTCTCGGAGCGGTTGTGCAGCATGGCCACTATGGTGTCCATGCTGCGGAACATCTCGGCCAGCACTTGGTACTTGTAGGGCAGCACGAGGCCCGGGGCGCCCGGCTGGGCCAGGGCATGGAAGCGCTGGTAGGCGGGCGCCTGCGAGCCGCTGCGGGGAGAGGGGGTGGGCTGCTGAGGGGTGCGGGACTCCCAGCCTCGAGCCGCGCGCCGTCCCACCAGCACACACTCACCTGGGCGGCTCGTCCCCATCCTGCGCCTTGGGCGCGCTGGGCTCGGCAGCGGCCTCCGGGGCACTGGCCTGCAGCGCGCGCGCCCTTGCCCCCAGCGCCCGCGCCCGCCGCAGACAAGCCCGGAGCTCCGACGCGCTGTACTTGGCCTTGGCGGGCTTGGCTGCGGGGGCCGCCTTGGGGGGCTGGGGACAGGCCTCCCGCGAGTCCTGGGCCACCGCCGGGGGGCTGTCCGGGGAGCCGGTGCCGGGGACCTGTCGCGGGCCGAGAGGGGCGCAGGTCAGGGCCGAGGCGGTCAGCTCCCGGAAGGAGCTGGGCGCGCTGGGCAGAGTCCCTCCCCGGCTGCCAGGGACCCCGGCACGGTGCGCCCCGCACCCCCGCGCTCACCGGGGCCGGCAGCCGCAGCCTCCTGCGCGCGGGCGGCGCCGACTCCTCGCTGGACTCGAGGGACCGGCGCGCGCGCTTGCGGCCGCTGCCTGGGACCGGAGGGCCGGTCGGCGGAGACAGCCTGGCGAGCTTGGCGGGGCTCGGGGTGCGGCAGGCCGCCTTGGCCCGCAGCGGCGCGCCGGGCACCGGGCGGCGGCGCGCGAAGAAGTCGGTGAGGCGGCGCTGCGCCATGGCGGGAGCCGGACGGGAGACGACCAAGGTGGCGGCGGCGGAAGCGGCGGGACGCGCGCTTCCCGCGGATTTTCGCGCGCTCCCCGGCCCCGCCTCCGCCGTGGGCGCAACCATCGACGGGAAGGGCGCGGGGGAGCCGCGGCAACATGGGCGCGTCCGCGCATGGGCGGCGCTGCGCGCGGGAACGCTCGGCCCGGGCCGCGCAGGCGCGCTCGCTCGGGTCTCGGCCGCGCGCCAGGAGGAAGGTGCTGGCCGGACGGCCTGGGTGGCACCCGGGGAGGGCCGGGAGCGGGAGGACGGAGCGCGGGCCCGGGCGCGTGGCTCGCGGCTGCTCAGGAGTGTCCGGGAGAGTAGCCGCGGGGACGCCGGACCCGAGCCCCGGAGTGCTCGGGGTCGTACACGCGGCGCCTCGTGTCCGAGGTAGCGTGAGAGGGCCCGGGCGCGGTCAGCCCGCTCGCCCCTGTGGAAAAGAGGAACCACACCCCGTCCCCCCGCCGGCCCCGCACCCTGTCCTCCTGCTGACCCCAAACCCCGTCCCCCCGCCGACCCCAAGCGCCCCCTCCCCGGCCGGCCCCAAACCCCGACCTCCTACTGACCCCAAACCCTGGCCTGTCCCCGCCGACCTCGAGTACCCCCTCCCTGGCCGACCCCAAACCCCGTCCCTCTGCTGACCCCAAACCCCGTTCCCCGGCCCCGAGCGCCCCTTCCCCTGCCGGCCCCGTCTCCCTTCCCCCTCCCGCTGACCCCCCCCCCCGCACTTTCCCTGACCACCCACTGTCCCCTCCTGCCGTCCTGTCCCTGGCGACCTCAGTTGCTCAGGTCCTGCCCGGCTGGCTGCCTGTGTAATCTTTTATCTGAGTCTGCGGTTGCAGTTCTGTTATTACAACGGGCAGCCTGACTTATCCCAGGGTTTTGGCCGCCCGCAGGCCAAGCCCTGTGGCCAAGAAGGGGACCTTGGCCCCCCGCAGGCTCCTGCCAGGTGAGGGTGTGAATTGCTGCATCTTGCAGGGTTAGAATGAAAGGGCACGGACCTGCGCAGTAGTGTAGTGGTTAAAGTCCTGGCCTTGCACGCACTGGGATCCCATACGGTCACCGGTTCTAATCCCGGCTGTCCTGCTTCCCATCCAGCTCCCTGCCTGTGGCCCAGGAAAGCAGTCAAGAGTCAGATATATAGAGTGGAGAAGAGATAGAAAGGAAGATCTTCCATCTGATGGTTCACTCACCAAGTGAGCACTGGTGCTGTGTCCATCAGGAGCCAGGAGCTTCCGGGTCTCCCACGTGGGTGCAGGGTCCCAAGGCTTTGGGCTGTCCTCGACTGCTTTAGCCGCTAGGGCATGCTGCCGGGCCCAAAAATAAGTAACACAGGCCACAGTTCCATCTGTGGGTCTCGGGTGTGACTGCCTGGCCTGCCCCAGGCTCCCCAGTGTCTGCCTGCTGGGGACCTGACTGCTGCCCTGTGTGGAAAGCTTGAAGGCCTGGCCTGTGGCAGCTAGGGTCTGGAATGGGACAGTGGGAGCACCACTGAGCCACCAGGTCCCCCACATACAGAGAACTAGAGGAAGCATGCAGCTTGTCTAGGGGCCAGCCGCCCTCGTGACACACCAGGTTCCCAACTTCTAGGATGCGTTTCATTTGCAAGGCAGAGGGAGACAGACATTGTCCACCTGCTGTTCCCTCTCCAGATGGCCGCAGGGCCCGGGGCCAGGCTGTAGGAGAGCTTCCTCCCTTGTGGGTATAGGGGCCGAGCTCTGCTGCTTTCCCGGGCACATCAGCAGGGAGCTGTATCGGAAGTGGAGCAGCCTGGACACGCGCTGAGGCCTGTCAATGCTGGGCTAGAGTCCCCACTCGCTTTCCAAACAGCTCCCTACTGTTACACACCCTGGCGGGCAGCCGGTAACAAACCCAAGCACTTGGGCCCTGCTGCCCCTGTGGGGGACCTGCTGGAGATCCAGCCTGGCATGAGCCCGGCCCAGTGCCAGCTGCTGCAGGTACTCAGGCAGTGAAGCAGTGGGTGCGAGATCTCTCTTTGTAATGCTTTTGAGTAAGTAAATAATAATAGTTAAAAATTTTGAAGCAAGAAATTACACTGGCCAGCGCAGATCAGTCTCTCTTAAACACCAGAAGTATAA